GATTCAATATATTCACTGAAGCAATGGTGCCATGTCCAGGAAGAACCAAGAGGTAGAAGCTGGATTGGCCCTTCTCATCATCACTTGCTGTAACCTACTTGCAGAATTTGTGCTCCTCACCACTGTAACTTACACCTTGGTGAATCAGAGGTCTTAGTTTTCAGGGGAGGGAATGCTTCCACCAGGGGACAGTTTGCGGAGTCCTCAGAAACTGAAGCTACAACTACCACCTGATCACTCTGGGCTCCTAGAGCTAGTAAATCAGCAAGCAAAAAGAAAGAGAAGTTATTAAATTGGTGAGGTTAATTGACCTTAATCACCATGAGATACTAGGGTTGCTGCCACATAATAGGGGCAAACAGTAGTTTTTCTGCAACTCGGGGTAGTCACTGAGGCATCTCTTGGTGCTTCCATGCCCAGTATGCATGGCAATTACAGCAACCTCAGCCTGATCTGATAAGGGCAAGTCAACATGGACTCAGGCTTTTCATGGATGAAGGTCTGGGTCACCCCTACCCCCGGCCAGAGGTGGAAATGCTGGCTGAGAGTGAGGGGAGTATAGAATGAGTGATGAAGGAGGGAGATGAAGAATGTCAATTACACCCTTGGGACCAGCAGCAGCACCAGGACTGTGGTTTGTTCCACTAACCAATTAGTTATTAAGTCTTTTATAGTGATTGTAACTGGCCACCTCTTTGAAGATTCAGTGAAAGGGTGGATTTATTATGGAGACTGAGTAAAGCAGAACAATGCAAGGGGTGGACTGCATCAGACATCTCTAGTGGCCTAACTCACATTCTCTTGGCCTCATCTCTGGTTTCAGTTGTGGATAGGTGGACAGTTTCATGTGGGATTCAACTGGCAGCATGTCTTCACTTTCTAACCCATGCTCTTGCAGTACAGCAGACAGGGGTGTCATGGTTCGAATTATGTCCCCCAAAAAATGTGTGTATCAATTTGGCTGGGCTATGATTCCCAGTATTGTGTGGTTGTCCTCCATTTTGTGATTGTAATTTTATGTTAAAGAGGATTAGGGTGGGATTGTATAACACCTTACTAAGGTCACATCCCTCCCTGATCCAATGTAAAGGATGTGGCCTGCACCACTTTTTATCTTACAAGAGATAAAAGGAGAGGGAAGCAAGAAGAGAACTGGGGACCTCATACCACCAGGAAAGCAGCACCAGGAGCAGAGCGCATCCTTTGGAACTGAGGTTTCTGTGTTAAGATGCTCCCAGACCAAGTGAAGATTGATAAGAAGACCAACAGAGAGAGAAAGCCTTCTCCTGGAGCTGACGCTCTGAATTTCAACTTCTAGCTTACTAGACTATGAGAAAATAAACTTCTCTTTGTTAAAGCCATCCACTTGTGGTATTTCTGTTACAGCAGCACTTGATGACTAAGACAAGGGGTGACAGGTGGAAGGTGGCATATGCAAATCTTGGAAGTTAGGGGTTAGCACCTTCAGGGGCAACCCTCAACCAATGGGGGATGGGAATCAATGGATAATGCTCCTACTTCCCATCCTCTGGGAGTGGACAGTTTTGGGGACATCCTTTCTGTGTACTTCTCAGGTTGTCCCAGAAGACTCCTAACCCAGTTGCCAATATGGTGATCTCAGTAATGCACCTTATAATGGCTTTTCTTCCTTCCCTGATCCATTCTCCCTAGCCCCTCAGCCCTGCTTCTTAGATCACCTCCCAAATATTTGCTGCACATAGAATTCTTGTCTTAGGCTCTACTTTTGGGGGTGGCCAAGTTAAGACACTTCCAAACCTGCTTCTTCTCCTTTAGTCACCATCCATTTGAAGAATCACCATTGACCCAGTTGCCCAAACTTGAAACCTACACATAATCTTGACACTTCTCTCTCCTTCACATCAAATGAGTCACCACATCTTGACAATTCTAACTCCTAAATGTATCTTTCCCCCACACATCCGTCAGTTTGTCATAATGTGGGGGCTTGCATGTTGCTGTGATACTGGAAGCTGTGCCACCGGTATTCAAATACCAGCAGGGTTACCCATGGTGGACAGGTTTCAGCTGAGCTTCCAGACTATGACAGACTAGGAAGAAGGACCCAGCAGTCTACTTCTGAAAAAAATTAGCCAGTGGAAACCTTATGAATAGCAGTGGAACATTGTCTGATATAATGCTAGAAGATAAGCCTCTCAGGTTGTAAAGCACTCAGAAAAAGGACTGGAGAAGAGCTGCCTCCTCAAAGTAGAGTCGACCTTAATGACATGGATGGGAGTCAAGCTTTCAGGACCTTCATTTGCTAATGTGGCATGACTCAAAATGAGAAAAACAGCTGTAAACATCCATTAATAACAGAACATGGAAAGTACGAAATATGAATGTAGGAAAATTGGGAATCGTCAAAAATGAAATGGAACACATAAACATCAATATCCTACGCATTAGTGAGCTGGAATGAACTCGTATTGGCCATTTTGAATCAGACAGTCACATGGTCTACTATGCCGGCAATGACCAAATTGAAGAGGAATGGCGTTGCATTCATCATCAAAAAGAACGTTACAAAATCTATCCTGTCAGGGATAGGATAATATCCATATACCTACAAGGAAGACCAGTTAATACAACTGTTATTCAAATTTACGCACCAACCACTGAGGCCAAAGATGAAGAAATTGAAGATTTTTACTGATTTCTGCAGTCTGAAATTGATCGAACATGCAATCAGGATGCATTGATAATTACTGGTGACGGCAATGTGAAAGTTGGAAACAAAGAAGAAGGATCAATAGTTGGAAAATATGGCCTTGGTGACAGAAACGGTGTCGGAGATCACATGACAGAATTTTGCAAGACCAACGACTTCTTCATTGCAAATACCTTTTTCCAACAACAAAAAACAGCGACTATACACCTGAACCCTCGCCAGATGGAGTACACAGGAATCAAATCGACTACATCTGTGAAAAGAGATGATGGAAAAACTCAATATCATCAGTCAGAATGGGGCCAACTTCGGAACAGACCATGAATTGCTCATATGCAAGTTCAAGTTAAAACTGAAAATTTAGAGCAAGTCCACGAGAGCCAATGTACGACCTTGAGTATATACCACCTGAATTTAGAGACCATCTCAAGAACAGATTTGATGCATGGAACACTCATGACTGAAGACCAGATGAGTTGTGCAAGGACATCATACATGAAGAAAGCAAGAGGTCATTAAAAAGACAGGAAAGAAAGAAAAGCCCAGAATGGATGTCAGAAGAGACTCTGAAACTTGCTCTTGAACATCGAGTAGCTAAAGTAAATGGAAGAAATGATGAAGTAAAAGAGCTGAACAGAAGATCCCAAAGGGTGGCTTGAGAAGACAAAGTAAAGTATTATAATGACACGTGCGAAGACCTGCAGTTAGAAAACCAAAAAGGAAGAACATACTCGGCATTTCTCAAGCTGAAAGAACTGAAGAAAAAATTCAAACCTTGAGTTGCAATAGTGAAGGATTCTATGGGTAAAAAACTCAACTATGCAGGAAGCATCAAAAGAAGACAGAGGGAATACACAGTCACTATACCAAAAAGAATTGGCGATGTTCAACTATTTCAGGAGATAGCATGTGATCAAGAACCAATGGTACTTAAGGAAGAAGTTCATACTGCACTGAAGACGCTGGTGAAAAACAAGGCTCCAGGAATTGACAGAATACCAGTTGAGATGTTTCAACAAACAGATGCAGCACTGGAAGTACTCACTATGTCAAGAAATTTGGAAGACAGCTACCTGGCTAACCAAATGGAACAGATCCATATTCATGTCTATTCCAAAGAAAGGTGATCCAACAGAATGTGGAAATTATCAAACAGCATCATTAATATCACATGAAAGTAAAATTTTGCTGAAGATCATTCAAAAGCAGTTGCAGCAGTGTATCGACAGGGAACTGCCAAAAATTAAAGCCAGATTCAGAAGAGGTCGTGGAACGAGGGATATCATTGCTGATGTCAGATGGATCCTGGCTGAAAGCAGAGAATATCAGAAAGATATTTACCCGTGTTTTATTGACTATGCAAAGGCATTCAACTGTGTAGAGCATAACAAATTATGGATAACACTGAGAACAATGGGAATTCCCAAACACTTATTGTGCTCATGAGAAACCTGTACATAGATCAAGAGGCAGTCGTTTGAACAGAACAAGGGGATACTGCATGATTTAAAGTCAGACAAGGTGTGCATCAGGGTTGTATACTTTCACCATACCTATTCAATCTGTATGCTGAGCAAATAATTCGAGAAGCTGGATTACATGAAGTAGAATAGGGCATCAGATTTGGAGGAAAATTCATTAACAACCTGTTATTCAGATGACACAATCTTGCTTGATGAAAGTGAAGAGGACTTAAAGCACTTACTGATGAAGATCAATGACTATAGCCTTCAAAATGGATTACACCTCAAATTAAAGAAAACAAAAATCCTCACAACTGGACCAATAAGCAACATCATGATAAATGGAGAAAAGATTGAAGTTGTCAAGGATTTCATTTTACTTAGATCCACAATCAATGCCCATGGAAGCAGCAGACAAGAAATCAAACCAAGTATGGCATTGGGCAAATCTGCTGCAAAAGACCTTTAAAGTGTTAAAAGCAAAGATGTCACTTTAAACACTAAGGTGCGCCTGACCCTGGTGTTTTCAATCACCTCATATATGTGAAAGCTGGACAATGAATAAGGAAGACCAAAGAATTGATGCCTTTGAATTACAGTGCTGATGAAGAATACTGAATATACCGTGGACTGCCAAAAGAATGAGCAAAATCTGTCTTGGAAGAAGTACAGCCAGAATGCTCCTTAGAAGCGAGGATGGCGAGTCTTCGTCTCACATACTTTGGACATGATATTAGAAGGGATCAATCCCTGGAGAAGGACATTATGCTTGATAAACTAGAGAGTCAGCGAAAAAGAGGAAGACCCTCGACGAGATGGACTGACACAGTGGTTCTAACAATGGGTCAAGCATAACAATGATTGTGAGGATGGCACAGGACCGGGCAGTGTTTTGTTCTGTTGTTCACAGGGTCGCTACTGAGTGGGAACCAATTCGACAGCACCTAACAACAACAAAGGTATCTTCAGTTCTATCCATTTTGCTCCCTTTCACTGGCACTTCCATAGTTGTGGCCACAGCCATCCTTCATCTGAATGGCTACAACAACCTAACTATTCCCCCACTGCCCATCCTGCCTGCTCCCATCCAATCTCTAAACTACAGCCAGTGATGAACCTAAAATGCAAACGTGCTTGTAGGACTCTGCTGTCTCTCATTCCTTTTGCTCTGACCACCACTCTAACGATTCAGACAAGTATGCTGAGCTTGGATGAATAGCACAGTAGGTGAGAGTTAGCCACATGACAGTCCCAGGTTCCAGAACATGGAATTGCAGAGATCTGGGATGCTAACCACCACTAGGTTCTAAAACAGGTTGGAGAAGCTATCAGAAGCCCTGCAGGCATCTGAGTACACTGCCAGGACTACAATGGCGGGCATCCATCCATCTATACACTGCAGTTGCCATTTCCCAAATCACTTTCCCATCCATCATCTGAATTAATCCTTGCAGCATGCCTTGAGGGCTCAGAAAACTGAATGACTTGTCCAACATCCTGGTCAGTATCTGGCAGACCTGGGATCTCATCCCAAGGTCAGGGCCAAAGCTCTTTAATCAACACAGCTGCTCAAGACTGTCATAAGGAATGATCAATGCCGAAGAGCTTTTTTTTTAAATCATCTTTAATGTATTTTTAATAATTTTTTGCCTCATTTACCAGATAAATCATCTAAATAAATAGATGCTATACAGTCTCTTACCAATATCAGTACAAAAATAAAACCGTGCTCTGCATCCACTCTAACTCTCCCCAGCACACACTCACTCAGCAAAGGCATGTGCTTGGAATCGACGGGCCCCCAGCCCCTCCCCAAATACATTCATTTAGTCTGAACAAAGCTCGACGCTCATTCTGTGCAAAGGAAGCGTTCTTGTGCTGAGATCTGGCGGCCACGTCTGGCCACTTATAAAGCATAAGCCAAACCATCTTACAGAAGCATAGTGCTTTCCCAGGGAGCAAGAGAAAAGGAGGAAAAGGGCAATGGGGATTATCATCTTAAAAGAAGTGAAACCATGAAGCCACCTGTGCTCAACCACGCACTGGAAGTAGGCCACGCCAGGGGCGAAAGAACGTTCTTCTTATCCCACCCTCACAGCAAAACAAAAAGTACCGACTGGTCTCTCTACTTTCAAAACTGAGGTGGGGGCAGAGGAAAGGAAGATGGCGGAACTCCTTCTAAGCCCCCACCAACCCTGTGAGTACTGGCCTTCTGGTGGGCCTGGCGGTGGTGGGAGGTCGGTGTCCACCTGGCCTCCTCTCACCCCAGGCCCTGCTGGGGCACTCCCGGCTGGAAGGTGGCCTGCGCGGCCACTCAGCCCCTCGCTGAAGTCTCCAGTCCTGGCGGGAAAGGTCCTAAAAGCCCACAAGCCCTGAGGTGCCTGGCTGCCCTGGGCTGGCTCCTCGGGCCCAGGCCCCAGTTGGCATTCAGCCTTCCTGAAGCCGGAGGGCAGGGCTTGCAGGGGCCATGAAGGGCCTAGTAAGAGGCAGCAGGGTTCAGAGAAACAGCTGCCTCGCCCCAAAAAACAACCCCCCCAACCAGAAACCCCTAAATTGCACAATCAGCTCTCTGAAAGTGCCCGTGAAGCAGGAAGAGGTGCCGCTCCTCCTGGGGGGTGCGGCATATGACGTCTACTGGAAGCTGCCAGCCACATCCGAAACCACAGGGCCAAGAGCGTTCAAAGTGCACAGGGATGATGAGGACCCTGCAGAACTCAACTGGAGAGACCCCGCCCACCTGCCTTCCTCTAATCCAGGCCTGGGACAGCCTGTGTCCTCCCAGCCTGTGGATCCCTTCACCTCTGCTGGGAACCCCAATCCTGGAAGGTCCCCGCAACTGGATGGGCGGGCTTCCCTACTCCCCTCCCTTTCCCTGACCCACACCCCATACTCCCCTGGATTCAACTCCCTAGGCTGGGGGTAAATCGGTCACCCAGGAGGGGACTGTTCCCCAATGGAAGCACGGAATTGACCCTGGATAACTAAGGATTAAAGGGTAAGGAGGGAGAGACTCAGGGATTTGGAATCTTGCCAACAGGGTGCCCCAAACATACATAGGGTACAGGTTGTCTTTGGTGTGGGAACTCAGAAAGAAGGGGTGGGGTGAAGAATCACCCTATCCATGCCTCAACAGAGATTCTGATGACTTCCCAAGGACACAGGACAGGGTCAGGACAGTCCTGGGGAGGCGGGCTCTCAGCCACACCCTCTCTATGGATTACCCTGACTGACAATGGGAGGGATAGGAAGCCAGCCTTCTGCATCCTCCCCTGGGGCCTCCCCACATCTGAGGCTGGGCAGGGGCAAAAGGTGCTCCTCAGTGGCAGGGAAGCTACTTGCCCACAGGGCACCTGAGTGCAAATCAGAGAACAAGTGCACCTCCTCCTGGGAGACACTGCCCCTTGAACCCAGCCTGCTCCCCAACACACTGTGGCCCCATGAAGACCCCCTCTCTCCCAGGAAAACAAGGTCAGCCCCAGCTGTGGGATTTGGGTTGACTTGGGGGGGTTACAGACTGGAAGGAGGAAGGGGGTGTTCAGGGTCAAGGGCTGCCCTGAGAAGGTGGTGGGATGCCCCCTCCCTCCCTGGCCACCCACATCCACACTGGGGTTGGCTGAGTTGGAGAGGAGGGCAGAAAAAGAGGGGAGTCAGAGGGCTGAAAAGTCACCTGAGTCAGAAAGAACAAGGGCCTGCAGGGAGGAAGGACAGGGTCCCAGTGTCTTTGACCCCACGCTGACTAGGTGGCACACCTTTGCAGATGCGAGCACACCTGAAGCCTGGCCAGGTGAAAACACAAAACCGTACCTGCACGGCTGGAGCATCAGACGGCACCGTGCCCAGTGAGCCCCGCCTCTGCTGGCCTCTGCGAGCAAGCTGGACGAGGCGGGGGAGTGTGGGTGCCCGTGGCGAGCTCTTTTGTGCTGTGAATCACCCCATGTTCACCTGGGCAGGTTTCTAAACGGTAGGTTTGCAAGACTCCCCTGGACATGGTTGTAGACATGTACATAAGTCACGGAGGCAGGTGTGAATGTTCCGGGTGGGGGCACATGTGTGCACACCTGCACAGGCTGGGTGAGGGGGCAGAGCTACCAGCAGAAGGGTCCCGGCCCACGCTGTGATGGGGTGATTGGTCTCAGCATGAAGCCTCCTCCCAGGGAAGACTGAAACCTCTCTGAAGGGAAGGGGACAGTGCCCTAGCTCACGCAAACCCCTCCTCCTTCTGCCCTTTCTCTCTGACCCAGTCATCTTTGCTCAAAGCCAGCCTCCACATTCCACAGCAAAGCTGGAGTGCAAAGTTCAAAATAAAGACCCAACAAAAAAAGGGGAGGAGGGTAGATCAGCCAGAAAGGCTGCAGCAGGCCGCTCAGGGGAGAGGGTCTGGGCCTTCCAATTCTCCTTTAACTCCTGAAACCGCAGCTGTGTCTTTAAAGAAGACCGGGGATGATGGAGGTGTCCAGGGAGGTGGCCCATCTGGCCCTGGAGACGGCCTTCCAGCTGGCCGAGCAGAGCCAGGCCTCCCCACCCAGAAGCCTCTCTGTAAACATCCCTCACAGAGAAACGAGTAGGTGGGGAGAGAGTGCTGGGATTTTCCCTCCTCCGTTTTGGTATGTTTTTAAATAAAATAATTACCCTGCCCCACCCCCTCCCCATCTCCGGAAGTCCCCACCCCAAGCCCAAAAGAAACAGTTTAAGAAGAGTAAAAACGATGATTCAGAACTTCCCGCTGCGGTCTCGGAAGAAGCCCTCAGCTGCCTGGGCCTCGCGGAAGGTGACGGTGATGGAGTTGGCGGTGATGTCAGTCACTGTCACTTCACTTGGGGGGAGCGTGGGTGTCCAGGAAGGGGGTCCATCGGCCAGGTCTGCATCTGCTGCAGCCATGGGAGAAAGAGAGACAGAGACAGACGGGGACAGCGTGGGCAAAGGGTGGGGAAGGTGGGAGCTGGTGGCTGTCTGCAGACTAGCCCCCTCCACACCAGGTCCTCTCTGAGTCTCCAGCCGACAGGGCCTAGCCCACAGTGGGGCACACGGGAGGACAGTCAGGGCCCAGCCCACAGCGGGGCACACGGGAGGACAGTCAGGGGCCAGCCCACAGCAGGGCAAACAGGAGGAGGGTCAGGGCCCAGCCTACGGCCGGGCACACAGGAGGAGGGTCAGGGCCCAGTCCACGGCCAGGCACACGGGAGGAGGTCACTGTTCATGTTTCCTGGCTGGAAGAGAGCACATCCAGAAACCAGATGATAGGAAGAGCTCTGGGCTAGGTGACCGGGCCTTGAGTTCCAGTCCTGACAGTCCCCATGGCTGTGTGGCCTTAAGAGCACCAGGCCCTCTTTGGGTACTGGGCTAGGTGAGTGTGACGACCCACAGGAACCTGTCCAGCACTGAGGTTCCCTGGGCCTGGGCCACAGGGCAGGATGCCTTACCCTCTTCTTCAGGGGGCTGCTCAGCGGGCTCCCACTCGCCGGCTGCCTGCAGGACGTCTGGGGCCGGTGACTCCTGCAGGAAGAGCTCCCGTCGATGGCTGTGACTCTCCAGGCTGGGCCCGCGGGGCGGGAACTTCTTGCGTGAGAGCCGCAGGTACTTGTGGGCCTTGCGCGGCTTGCGGAGCGGGAAGGGCAGGGTGGGCACCAAGGGGCCCTTGTCCACCAACTCGGGCGCCCCCGCCTTGACCACCCCCTCGGGGCTCCCGCTGCCGAGTGGGCGCGTCAGGGAGAAGCAGAGCTTCTCCCTGCCCTTGGCCTTGTGGGAGCTGCGCAGGTCCATGCTGTACAGCCGCTGCGGGGGCAAGCCAGGGCACGGCCGTCAGCCCCGCCCTCCTGCCCGCCACACTGCCGCGCATGCTGTTCCCCCACCGGAGTGCCCTTCCCACATCTGCAGGCACACATCCTCCCATGTTTAATGGCCTAGAGCCACCATTACCCACCTCACTCCACCCCTGAGAGCTGTCCAGCCCCAGGCCAGCTACTCCTCTTGGCCCCACAGTGCCATCTCATGTCCCCAAGGGGCTGTAAGTGTCTCAGGGGGGGCGGCCGGAGGGCATATTCCCTTGGTACACAGCAATAGAGCATACAAGAAGTACAAATTGACATTTGACCAATGAAAAACCAGTCGCGAGTTATGCAGCAGAAAAATTAAGGAATTATTCTTTATCTTAGGAAGGGAAGCGCTGCTCACAGAAGGGCCCCCAAAGCTGACCCGCCAGCTTGCCAGGGAGGGGGTGGGAGGCCAAGAGCAAGGCGCGGGCTTCAGGTTCTGGGGTGAGCTTCCCGCAGGTACACAGACATCCCTGGGCACGCTGCATCCCCAGTGAGAGGGCAGAGCCTGCGGGCGGCCTGCAGGACGCTCCTCAGCGGAGACTGCCACACGGCCTTACCGGGCTGAGCCCTCATCACGTTTAAGTAGAGCTGAGTGTACGTTTCTCCACTGCTCCAAGGGTTGGAATTTGTAATTTGGGCATTTGTCTTATTGATTTTGGGGGAAATGTATGTGGATCCAAGAAAGAAGCTTGGTGCCAAGATGCTGGAAGACCCTGGATCCCTTTGGGACAGTACCTTTGACTGCCACCTGTCACCAGATGCCAAGAGCTCACAAGAAGAGAGGGAGGCCATCAGATGGGCCCTCTGAGTCAAACATCTCCAAATAAGGGGGCCAAGACCGCAGGCGCAGGCTTCCTTCTCCCACCTGTCTGCTAACATCAACCACTCACCACAGGGTGGGGGTTGTGGGGTTGGAAAAGGGCTGACTGAGCTGGGTGGGGATGGTGAGATGCAGCAATGGCTTGGAGCTTCATCCAAACCTATTCTTGCAGCCTGGCTCGTAGACTGTCCCAGCCCAGTAAGCTCTCCCAAGATTCTGCGAGGCAGATTCAATCTTTGTCCTTCTCTGCCTCATCAGGAGAGAACTACAGCTACTGAAAGGGACCCAGGTGTGGCAAGAGTCAGATTGGGGTTTTAATCCTGCTGTGTGACCCTAGGTAAATCACCAGCCTCTGCACCTCAGTGTCCTCATGGTGAGCTGATGAAACTGTAGCAGGCAGCCTCCCAGATGCCCCCAGCGACACCCACCTGCTGGACCCACACCCTTGTGCAGCCCCACACACTGAACACTGGGTGGGGGGGAGTGATTCCCAAGACAGGGTCTTACAACACACTGCAGCTTCTTCCTTGTGCTCTCCTGTTCATCACTCAATCTGGGGGAAGCGAGTGGCCACAGTATGAGGACACTCAGCAGCCCTACGAAAAGGCCCATATGGCGAGGGGCCAGGCCTCCTGTCACCATGTGGCACATTAGTGAGCCACCCGCATCGGTCCTCCAGCCCCAGTCAGACCTTCCAACGATGAGAGCCCCAACTGACACTGGCTACAACCTGAACCAGGCCCACTAAAGAAGCAGCTAGAGCACTCTCTATACCTGACCTGCAGAAGCTGGGCCAGAGCCTCGATGTTTACTGCTTCCAGTTGCTAAGTTAGGGAGTAATTTATTACACAGCAATAGATAACTGATACACCCACCCCAAAGGATAGTGTGTTAGAAATGTGTTCGTTTGTAAAGAGCACCAAGCACAGAGCCTAGCACCCAGAAGACGTCTGACTTTCCTTGTTAGGACCCAATTCACACCAAACTCTGTGAGCACACCCACTGTATAAAGGATAGCCCATCGACTCTGGCCAAAGCCGCAGATGATCTATAATCAGGAGCAGACAAGAAGCTCGAGAGAGCCCACACTGCATGTGCCAAAACCAAGCCCGCTGTCATGGAGTTGATTCCAACTCATGGTGACTCCATGTGTGTCAGAACAGAACTGTGCTCCATAGAGTTTTCTTGGCTATGATCTTTACAAAAACAGATTGCCAGGACTTTCTTCTGTGGCACTGCTGGGTGGAAGTGAACCACCAACCTTTAGATTAGTAGTCAAGCTCAAACTGGCTCTACCACCCAGGGACCCTCTGTGGACCAAGAATCCTTACTTTTTGGCTTCAAATACCTGGGTGGGCCTTAGTGAATTAACACCCCATTTTACAGGTGAGAAAACCCAGGCTCAAAGAAGTAAAGACTTGCCTAGAATAAAGAACTACACTGCTCCAACCCCACTCGTCTTTCACCACAACCAAGTCAGCCAAGTGCCCCCAAGTCCTAGGTACCCTGGGATGTAGCAGAGATGAGATCCCCACCTGACAGAAGACTGGGAAAGGAGGCCTCTGAGGCTTCTTCCTACTGAAAAACGGCACCTGTCCAGGAGTCTAATTCCCAAGAATTCCAGAATTCTAAGTCTCCATTTCTTGTATTCTGAAATTCCAATCTCCCGTGTTTCCTCAGTTCTACAAGTTTGTGTGTCTAAGGTTCTCAAATATTACTGTTTTTGTGTTTTGGGACTTTGAGCATCAAAAACGCTTATTCACAAGGTTCGAAGCTTTCAAAGGAGCCCTGGTGGTACAGTGGTTAAAAGCTTTCAGAATTCTAGGATTCTATTAGCCACGTGCCCCCTACCTCCCACCATGGCACCTCCCACTCAGGCTGTCTTCCCTGGGCACCACCCCCACATTCGGGCTTTTCCCAACTCCTTCCATCAAAACCTACCCCCCAGCTGCCTCCCCACACAGTGCCCCAGCCAGTGCTAGGGAGGCTATATCCATCAGGTCAACTAGCCAGTGGGAATGCACAGAGGGGCGTGGCTGGCAGGAAGGGCAGAGGGGGGCCTGTGGGTGGGTGGGCAGGAGGTGGAAGGAGGCACAAAAGTGGGCCGGGTTACCTGCAGCAGAAGCCGCTTGGGTTTCGGACCTCTCTTCCTATACCCCGACGCTCGGTCTCTCTCCTCCCTAGGGTGCGAAGCAGATGGCAGAAGAAAAGGAAACACTGGTAACATTTAAGGGAAAATAAGGTGCCCGCTTCACCTCACCCTCTGCTGTCTGTGGGGGAGAGGGACACCCTCCACAGGCCATCCCCCCGATGCTGGGGTACAGGCTCCTCCCCATTGCTCCCTCGAGGTCATAGCAATGGGGTCAGCTGCCCAACTCCAGGGCCACAGTCCCCCATCTGACAAATGGGGGGTACAACCACTGGTCCCAGTCACTGACGTGGGACTCGGGGAGGCATCTCCCCAAATGCGTGAGTCTGTACTAGGCTCAAGGGTCGTGCAAGGTCCCTACTCTACATGCCACGAGGAACTGCCCCCCACAAATGTAGTTCTAATTTCCACTCTCATCTTAGGAGAGTTATACAGGGACCTGTCAATCGAATTTGCCTCTGAATGTCCTGGGGGAATTGATGCCAATGGTGGGTCCTTCTGGAAGTGAAGCTCCGCTCAGATGCTGTGTGAATGGCAGAAGGATAGCCTCCCACCCGTCCCAATTGTCTAGTCAGGGAGTGGGGAGAAAAACTTGCCCGTATTGATGCCTAGCAGGGGCCAGACCCTGCTGGGTGCCCTCCCCACTTACAGACATACACAAACACACCAGGCCCAACCCAAGGACACGTGCAAAGCCACACACAACACACACAAGACAACACAATCGGAGGCTCCCAACAACGGCACCAAAGCAGTATGGAAATGGAAAATCCTTTCATTCTGCCTCCTATTTCACTTGGTTCCGTTCTCACTTTCTGAGTTCACACTCGGAAAGAATGTGGAGGCCCTTTCCCCCTGCTGGTGGGGGTGACGTCAGGCCAGTCCCCTAGTCTGAGCTCAGCATAAATTCGTGACTCCAGCCTCGTCTATTTCCAATGCCTGATCACCATCTGGGCAGCAGCTGCCACCCTCTCACGGGCATCAGTCTCCTGGGGAGCTCCCAGGTCTATGGTGGGGCCTGGAACCAACATTCTAAACAGGCACCCAGGGCATGCTGAGGCAGGTGACAGGGTCCTGCTTGGAGACCCCTCCTGGAGGCTCACTGCACAGGCCTCTCAAGCCTTCGAGGGTAGGACCTCTTATCTCAGAAGCCAATACTGGGCTTCAGGACCCAGTTCCAAGCCCAGTTCTACCTTGACCCATGGGAGACCCTGGCTGGTCGCGTCCCCTCCCTGAGACTCGGGTTCCTCATCTGGACCAAAAGGATCCCTTGTCAGCTGGGTGCCGGGGCTCCTGGGAGGAGCAAGAGAGGACCTGGTATTTACTAAAATTGGGGGTGGAAAGGCTCAAGTAATAAAGTGAGGAAGGAAGAGAGAGGGAAGAAACAGAGAAGAAAAGGAAGGAAGAGGAGGAGGAAATAGAGGGAGGAAGAGGGAAGGACTTTGGGAGAAAGGATAATTATCATGATTATGATGTGTTTATGATTATTAGCATCACATATTGGACACTATGTACAAAGACTGCTCCAAATGCTTTCATCCTCACAACCACCCTACAAGGGAAGTGCTATTATTATCCTCATTTTATAGCTGTGGAAACTGAGCACAGACAGGTTGCCCAATGCTGAAGTTCTGACAACTTCCGCCACTGGAAGGCCTCCCTCTTCAATGCCAGGCTCCAGGTCTTGGGGAGTAGCGACAGCAGGGCAGTCCCGGCGCCCGGGCCACCAGACACTGACTCCCAACCTGCAGCAGTGCCCTTGCTCCTGCCCTGCAAGTTGTAGGCTGTGCATGTGTGTGTGAGTGTGCACGTGTGTGCATATTGTGCGTGTGTGTGTGTGGTGTGAGGCATGGGGGCCCATGCCATCTAGTCCTTACTTACCTGGGCCTGGTGTCTGTTAGCCCTGGACCCTCTGTCCTTCAGTGTCCAGGGCTAAAGGGTGGTGGGACCCCTTAGGATCTTGGACCCAGCAAGCCCTTGGTGCCCTCTCAACCCCTCTGGCATGCAGGGACTCTCCATCAGCTCGCCCTTGCCAGACTCCTTCTGAGTCTCACAAATACCCTGCAAAGCAGGTGTTAAAATGGACACCACCCCAATTTACCCCCCTGAGAGAGGAGGAATAAGCCAAAGGGCACACAGTGGGTCTGTAGGAGTTTCCAAGCTCCTGTTTCATTCCTTAACTATTGGCTTTTCTGACTCATTCAAAATAAAACCCACATCCTCTATGAGGACTTACAAGGCCCTCCCTGAACTGCTCCCCCTTCCTTAGCTGTGCACCGCTCCCCCTCTGGCTTCACCTCCCCTCCTTCCCGACTCACCGACTCCAGCCTCAAACAGGCCTTACCCCAGGGCCTTTGCACTCACTGTTCTCTCTGCCTGGAATGCTCTTCTCTAAAATACCCGCTAGGCTCATCCCCTCGCTTCATCTAGGTCTCTGGTCATCTGCCACCTCCTAATCACCCCTTCAAAAACAGCAACCCCACCGTTCCCTCGCTCCCTGTCCCCTAGGTTGCACCTGTCACCACCTGACACTGTACACATTTGTTTATTTTTCATGCATGTCTCCGTACTGGAACGTAAGCAACAGATTCAGTCCCTGCTGTGTCTCCAGAGACAAGGCCTGGCACAGAGTTGGTGCTGTGGATGTTGTTAGTTGTTGTCGAGTCAACCTTATGCATAACTGAAAGAAACACTGCCCGATCCTACGTCATCCCCCCAATCATTGCTATGTTTGAGCCCATTGTTGTAGCCACTGTCTCATGGAGGACTGCCCTTGTTTTCACTGACCATCTACTTTGCCAAACATGATGTCCTTTTTTTTGACCCTCAACGAAAGAATGAACTAGCTGACCCGAAATGACCGTCAGGACGATAATTCACGTGTGTGCCCACACTTAGTGGTTTACAAACTGCTTTCACATACCTGTGCTCCCCACAAGATCCCCATGAGGGCAGCACGGTTATCACCATTTCACAGATAGGGAAACTGAAGCTTTGAGAGGAAAAGGACTTGCCCAACACCCCACAGCTGGTGAGTGGCAGCGTCAGGATTCTAATCCAGGCTATGCCACCTGCCAGATGCTCTCCTTACCACATCACATTCCAGGACATTCCACAGGATTCTCCCAAGTGTTACACCCTTTTGGATTCAAGGCCCCACCAAGCACCTGGGCACCAGAAAGAAGCTGTGGGTCAGGGATACCCTGATTTTTAAAGGAAACAACAGCGAAAACTTTTCCTTCGAATCAGCACCGGGAAACCACCTGGGGGAAAGCAATGCGAGTGCAGCAAGGAGGGGCAGTGGAAAAACACTGGACTTAGAATCACGAGTCCTGGTTTAAGTTCTCCTTGTGCTAGCTCCCAGCTGTGGGGCTCCTGGGCAGGTTCCTTAATGCCTCAGAGCCTCGGTTTCTGCATCTGTCAAATGAGCCCTCCATCCCTGTCTCGGGAGGGCACTGTACAGGCCAGAGGTGATTCTGTGACATGGGCCTGCACTGCCCAGGGTCGGCGGGTCAGGGAGAGGTGCAGGGGCTTGGGGCTGCCTGCTGGCAAGGAGGCCAGGAAAGCTCAGAGCTGAGGATGCAGTGGGAGGGAATGGCTAGATTATCCTCAGAAGGCCCCCATACCAGAAGAAACAACCATCTTGTCAAAGCTTCCAATAAGATGTATCCTCCCCACATGTGGGTGGAGCTGCCATCACACACCAGCCTGGCAGAGCCTCCACAGAGCACCGGCAGGCAGGGAGACCGAGGCCCAGAGAGGGCAGGCTGTGCCACAGCCACTCAGCCAGGAAGTGGCCAAGTGGAATGGGCCTGAACTCAGAGACCCTGGCACCAAAGCCCACAGTCCCTGCCTGGCACGTCTTGTGCTTCATTGGGCTTCCCTTCTGTTGGTGAGAGGATCTCAAGATTCATCTCTGTTCTGTCACTACTGGCATAGGTGACACTGCTGTCCTCTCACACGCAGGGTGTTTTTCTGATGCATTTTTAAATTCCTCATCTCAATTGAAACCCCTGCCTTATGGGAAAATCAGGGTAGATGTTATCGGGGTGGCCCATTTCACAGCAGAGAGGTGAGGTCTGGGGAGGTAAAGGAAGCAGCAGATATCATCCAGCAACAGGAAAGGGACTCAGGTCCCCGGACTGCCCTGTGGAATGCCCTCACCCCCCTCCCTGTGATCACTTGTGCAGAACTGAGCCCAAAGGAGGCTCCCTACAAAAGCTCAGAGACTGCCTGAAGCCCAGACCCAGAGACCAGACGGGTCCCCTTACTTCTCCTCATAGGCCAGGACCAGGCGGGGGTCCAGGATGTGCTCTTCCGGCTCCCATGTGCTGTACCTGGGGAGAGAAACGAAAGATCAGCACCACCCTGCTCACACCTGGCATTCACGGAGGCCGCAGAGGTTCCACCATGGTTGTTGTCTGCAGGCCTGTGCCCCTTCCTGGTCTGACGTAATTGTCACTTACTCTGAGGATCTGTCCCTGGCTACCCGGGCTAGGTCAGGGCCTCCTGAGGGCTCCGGTGGCACCAGAACTCCCCTCATTCTAAGCACGGATCACACCACACTGTAATCATTACTGCATCCAATTTTATCAGAACCCATGTTCACCTCAGACCCTCAGGGAGCCTTGAACAGAACAGGCTCCATAAGCCCCAGGATGCCCTGCCCACGAGAGGCAAGAGAGGGTGGTAGAGAAGAGGGCCTTGGAAAAGACTGCCCAGGGCCCAAATCCCAGCAATGCCCCTTGCGAGCTGTGTGACCCTGAACAATTTACTTTGTGGCTCTGTGCCTCGATTTCCCTACCTGTGAAGAACTTGACTGCTGACTGAATGGATTAAACGTCTAAGTGTCTAGAGCACGGCCTGGCACACTGTAAGTGCTTTGTGGGCACACAGTAAGTGCTTTGCGAGTGTTGGTTACTGTTATTGCTCCTCCCCACCCTTCCAGCCCCAGCCCTGCCTCCTCAGCCAGCCAGACATCTGGCTGTGTCTGCAGCTCCCTTGGCTCTGGGCCTGGCACACAGCAAGTGTTTGGTCTAGTAGTCCAATGTTCAGTATTCCAACAGCAACCCTCACCGCGGAATTCCCACAGGGACCTGCACCACCCCGAGACCAGACAGCACCCCCTGTTGGGGTAGGCCTGGGCGCTGACCGTGCAGTGGCTCCAGGGCTCAGCCATCTGTGGTACCACCTGCTGGTGTGTGCCACATGCTTGCTCCACTTACTTGCACTATCATTTACTTAGTACCTGTCTTCAGAGAAGCTCACTTGTTTTGTTTAAATGTATTTTAAAAGCAAATCTTACACGACTTCTATAAACGGAAAAACCACTCACTTGTCATAAACAGACACCAGTTTATAAAAAGTTTAAAGTTAAAAATGTATATATTTTAGCAATCTTCTACGACTCTGGTCAGAGGCTGTGCCAGGCAAGGCTCTGAGATAAGAAAGAAGATGAACAGGTACTAGGCGGTGTTAGGAGGCAGAAAGAGGCCAGGGACAGTCCCCTGTCCCTAATCAGCTGAACTAAAACCTTTATCTTAAACTACCTGGGGCATCTCTTGTAGTACTTAACCCTAGTCCAATATGGACTCAGACCACAAGCTCCCAGGGCAGTATCCTTTCTTCACTGACACTTGCGCATACCTGCTTCACGTCAGGCCCCAGTGGGGGGCCCTGTGGACTCAGCCCTGGAGGAGCTCACAGCCCAGCCTGAGCAGGTGCAGCCACACCTCCTTCCCTCCATACATGCTGTGCTCTCCCGGAGTGCCCAGGCCCTCCCCTGGACTCCTTGTCATCCTTAAGAGCCAAGTCTTCGTCGCCTTCCCTGATACCCCTTCCAAGCAGTCCCACCCCCAGCAGAATAAGTCTGCCCCTCCCATAGCCTCTGCTGTTGACACTTGGCCCCTGCCTTGATTACTGATGAATCCTGCAGTGAGCAAGGCCTCCCCACGGTGCAGGCCCTGGCCCCACCCCCAGGTACTCTGGGAATGGCTGCTGAAGCCACTTGCAGTTTCACTCACCCCTGCAGAAATGTCAAAAGTGAAACTGAACTGGGTGAGGCCCAAGCTATAAGCAACCAGAGGCTGGCAGAGACTCTGGGCCTCCCTTCTCCCAAATAAAGGTGGAATTGTCTCAACTGTAACTAATGACAAGAAAGGGGGAATTCTGTGTTCCTCCTCCGTCATCTGCCTCGCCCTCTTCCTCTAGCTGCTGGATGTCTCTACAGTGTTCTAGTTGGCTCTGCCCTGACCACTTCCCCACTTTTTTTTTTTTTTTTAAACTGATGTAGCAGCTGTGTGATTTCTGGCAAGTCCCTACCCTTCTCTGGCCCTCAGTCTCCTCCTCTTCAGAATAACAACCTCCACCACCATCCTAACAGCAAGGTGCCGGGGCCCTGCCACAGACCAGGAATTCCTCCATTCCTCGTAACACCTTTATGAGGTAAGTTCTATTATTATCCCCATTTTACAGATGATGACACTGAAGCACACAGGTGGAGCATCTTGCCCAAGGGCACTGGGTCATAACTGGTCAGCCTGTGACTGCAACTCAGTTTGACTCTCAGCCCCCCTCTACCCTGGGTCCCTCACATGTCAATGTGTCCAGTTCCCCACCAGACGGTGACCTCTCCCGGGGAGAGTGGCATTGACACAGAGGCTGACACACAGCCGGTGCACAAAAAAGGTCAGCCCCGGATGAAGGGAGGGGTGGTTGTTTCTGGCCTGGGGCAACTGGAGGCCTGGCCCTGCTCAACGCTGGTGATGGGGATGCCCAACTGTCTTAACCTCTCGGACCTCCCCTCACCGTGACGTGAAGGACATTACGCGCCCCTCTGCAGCGGGGGAGCCTCGAGGCCACAGCAAGGGAAACACACTTTGCGACCAGCTGGGCAGCGGCACAACAGAAGCGCACAGCCCGCGGGGTCCTCAGGCTGGGAGAGGATGACGGGCAACTGCCCATCCTGGACCTCTTTACGACGGGCCAGGGCTGCAGAGGGTTCCGGGCGGGAACCGAGCGCCTTGCAAGCGGGGCGAAGACGACCCCGACTCTCCGCCCCTCCTGCAGGCTGGCCGCGCACGCGCACTCCCGGGACGGTACGTGCCAGAGACGCCGGCAAGCCAATCGGCCGAGGGAGGGGGGGAGGGGGCGGGGACAGAGCAGCCTGGGATAAACATGACCACGTGACCGCCCCGCCCGCCCGGCGCCGGTAAACAGAGTAGGGTCTTGCTGCCTTCGAGCAGGCTCGCAGAGCAGCTGCGTAGGCTCCCCAGTGCATGCGGGCGGCGACTCAGGGGGGAGCGTCTGCAGGGGGCGGACACCCCCTCCAACACCATCCCTTTATCAGCGGAGAGCGAGCGCGCTGTTGAGTTGTGACGCAAGCGTCCTGTGCCGAGTTAACTCACCCTAGGGTACCCGCAGAGCCATGCCATTACTGCCCTGCCCCACCCCACCCCCAAAATTAAAAGGCTTTAAACCTGCCCAAAATGGGAAAGGCCATCCATTAATTGGGGCTCATAACAGGAGGTTGGGTCCAGACTTCCGGAGTACGGCCTAGGGCAAGTGTCTCTCCACCTCTCAGGGCCTGCTCTGTAAAGTGGAGGCAGTAATCGTCCCTATCTTCGAAGGTTGTTTGAGGATTAGATGTGGTAAGCCACATAAAGCATTTAGACCAGTATGGCACATCATAAAGACAACGTTAATTCAGTGCACAAATCTGGTCCGAGTCGCGCAGCAAGGTAGAGGCACAGGAAGGTGTGCTGCAGCTGCCCAAGCCCAGCCTTGCAGAAGGAAGCTGCCACTGGGCTCCCGGCTCTGTGTAGGATCCTACCTCTCCTTGTCTCAGGCAGTCTTCAGCAGGACCCTCAGAGGCTAGGGCCTTATTTTACAGATGGGGGAATGGAGGCTCAGAGAGGTTGAGGGCTTTGCCCAGACTCACACAGCTGGAAACCTCCAGAACCAGGATTCCAAGGCAGGCGGATGGGGCTCAAAGCCTGAGCACTTCCCACTGAACTGGCGGAAAAGCCCACAACGGACTCTTGTGGAGCTGGCTGTCTATCACAGGGGGTAGCTCCCAAGCCTGGGGTCGGGCAGGGCCTAGTTCAAATCACCCCAGCTGTATGAGCCTCGGAAACCCTGGTTGCCTAGTGGTTAAGAGCTACGACTGCTAACCAAAAGGTCGGCAGTTCGAATCCACCAAGCACTCCTTGGAAACTATGGGGCAACTCTACTCTGTCCTATAGGGTCGCTATGAGTCGGAATCGACTCGACAGCAACGGGTTTTGGTTTGGTTTTGGGTTTGTATGACCCTGGGGCAAGGTTTCTTCTCGGCTGTGGGCTTCTGTCTCTCCATCTGTAAAATGGGTGGCTATAGGCAATTTGTGGAGGTCTGGTGGCACAGTGGTTAAGAGCTCGGCTGCTAACCAAAAGATTGGCAGTTTGAATCCACCAGCTGCTCCTTGGAAACCCTATAGTGCAGTTCTACTCTGTCCTATAGGGTCACTAGGAGTCAGAATTGACTCAATAGCAACAGGTAATGATTGGCAGCCTGGTTATTGCTGCACCCACTGATAACATCATTACTAAGCTACTGGCCCAGCCCCTGCCACCCTACAGAGACATACTAAGGTATGGCATGTATGGCAAGTGCCCTGGGCACCGCTTTTGGGGGGGGGAGGGGGAGGGGATGGCCCAGGCCAATGAGCAGTTTCTATTGGCCACCGCTATTTCCATCCATCACCAGCTCTGAGAAATCATTCAGCAATTTAAAACTTAATTGCCATAGGCACTATTTTCCATAGATAAGCCCTGATGCTCCATAAAAGGTGGGGAAGTATTAGCAAGCGGGGAAAGGAGGAAGGGAGGAACCGAGGGAGGGGGGAGGGATGGAGGGAGGCAGGGGAACAGCAGGGTCCTGGGCAGGCTGAAATGAGGGTAGGGTACCTGCAGCGGTGAGAGTACCGTAACTGGCAATGTAACATCCCATACTGCCAGCCCCACCCCATGCCATTTGCTGTGACTTCCAGAATAAGCAAGATAGTCTGCTGCCCTGTCTACTGGGCAGTGGATGGCATGAAGTGGGTACCACACTGCACAGGGATTGGCAGTGATATTCTGGTAATGACCTCCCCTCTCTGGGCTTCAGTTTCCTTATCTGAAGAATAAGAGGACTGATCTCAATCATTTCTAAAGCTGCTTTGAGTTCCTGTGAAGAACTGAATTTCCCCAGATCCCTTTCCTTGCCAGGGGAAGAAAACACCCTTGAAGCCTATCTATCTAGCTTTGTATTAATAGCAAACATTTACTCAGTGCTTAGTCTGGGCCAAGCATGCATCAGGCACTTTACATCCCTTATTTAATCCTCACAACAGCCCCGTGAGGGAGGCGTTATTATTCCAATTTGGAGATGAGAAGGCAGAGGTATGTTGGGACTTGCCCACAGGTTCACAGGTGTCCTGTGGGCAGCCAGGCCTGGAACGCGAGACCAAAGTGTGGGGGAGCCAGAAGGTGTCCCCAGGTCACACGGTCAAGCAGGACTCCCACAGCCCCCTGGGGGAGGGTCACAAAAGGCAGGCATCAGGGCCCACCCAGTGGTCTCAGCATGTGAAAGAATCAAAGGGCCACCAACCCAGCGGGGGGTGGGGGTGGGGTGGCGGGAGAAGGCCACAGGCCAAAGAAACCTGCAGGGACTCTGCTGTCAGCCCCTCCGAGTGCTAGTCCCTTCCCTCACTCTCATGGGCAGGTACGTTCATTTAGGATCAATAAAAATGGGAAAAGTAATTTTTAATTAATAATTGCCTCTGTTTAGAGAAGGAACTCTTTCAAAAGGCGGACTATAGAGGAGGAAAACAGCCAACAGTGCCTTGAAGATCAGCATGCTGGTCACCACAGCTCTGAGGCCAGTGCCTTCCCGGGGCACAAGCCAAGAGGAGAGTGACATGCCCAGGGAGCCAGTGCCCTGCTGCCACCGGGCAGCTTCCTTTTCTAGCTCTCTCGCCCCTCTTACTGCCCTCTTCTTCCTCCTCCTCCTCTCACTTCCTTCCTCTGACATCCAGGCCAGAAGTCCACCTGACTAGCCCAGTGGAAAAGGGGATCCTTCTTCACCTTGAGGGTGTTTAGGAAGACAGAAGGGAGAATATCTACAAGCCAGCCACCAACCCTAACCATCAGGATGCCTGTGGGCCACCCTGAACATGTGCCCAGTAGTCAGAGGAGAGCAGGGCCTGGACTATTGAGCCCATTTTGCAGCAAGGGAAGCTGAGGCAGCATGGGCTGTCTTCCCCTCTGCTCTCTCCACCATGGCCCACCACCGAAATGCCCCAGGACCCAACACCAGATCAGCCCCCAACAGCAGCACAACAGAAAGCCCCTGGCACAGACATGGGTGGCTCTAGGCAGAGGGGGTTTCCAGGAGTCGGTCTGAAGGAGGCAGGGCAGGGGTGTGGTAGCCACAGACCAATGGGGAGGCCCCACGACTAGCTCATTTCTTCTCTTCCCCCCAGAAAAACTCCCTGCTGTGAGGTTATTGGTTGGTAGGAGGGTTCCTGATTGAACTTGAGTAGGGGAGGTGGAGCAAGTCAGTCTTAAGTCTTAGATCCAGCCCCCTCCCTGCCTACTCTGGGATGGTGATGTTGGGGGGAGGCACAAAGGAAATACTTGAAAATGGGGAGGCCCGCTTGGAGTCCAAGGAGCCCTGGTGGCGCAGTGGTTAAGCGTGTGGCTGCTAACTGAAAGGGTGGTGGTTCGAATCCACCAGCCGCTCCACAGGAGAAAGATGTAGCAGTCTACTTCCATAAAGATTTACAACCTTGGATACCCTATGGGGCAGTTCTACTCTATCCTGTAGGGTTGCAGAATCGACTTGATGGCAATGGGGTAATGGGGGTTGGAGTCTAACTCTGCCTCCACTTGCTCTGTGACCTAAGGCAAGCTTCTTACCCTCTCTATTTCCTCATTTTCAGAGATTACGATTGTACCACCTCACAAGCTGTATGGGAACCTACTCTGTCCAAGGCAAGGCGGGCTCAGGTTCTGCCCCCAGGTACGTGGCACTGAGGACACTGGTGCTCCACCGGCTAGACTTCCCTGCCCAACCCCACAGACCCCCCCACACCCAGCACTGTACTTGCTGTGGCTCAGAGCCCCCTCCATCTGACCAGCAGCCATCTATGAAGCCAAGATGCTGAGCCTTTGCCTCCCAGTTGCCAAGAAAACCCAGAAGAAGGGGAGGGGAGGAGAGAGAAGAAGATCCAACCAGAAGATGGAGCCCAACACGTGAGAGGGGTGGAGTGAGAAAAGAAGCTGGTGGTCCACATGGCACCTCATGTGCTCCAAGCCCCTCAGCTGGCAGAGGGGAAACAGACCCAGAGAAGAGGATGATTTTCTCCAGGTCAGCTGGCTAATTACAAGAGCAGCTGGAGCTAGAAGCTGGGTGGGGAGAGGGCAAAAGGTAGGAAGAGGGACAGACGGGCAGACAGACAAACACACACAAAAGAGCCTTACTTTGGGGGCCATCCTTTCCACTTCACCAGATACTCGACTTTACCCTGGGAAGAGAGAGAGAGAGGCAGACACAGTGAGATACGCAGTCTCCCCAACAACCACTCACAGGACGGTCAGGCCCAAAGGACCTCAGTCCCAAATCCCCACTGCAGACGGGTGTCCCCCAACACACACACACAGTCTGAGGACCCTTCAGCAGATCCTTGCCAACCTAGAGACCCTCACATTTGGCTGCCACATGACCACCCCGGACCACCATCCGTACGAGAGTACAGGAGGACATCCGCCCAAACAGCTCCTGGAGCAGAAGCTTGGAGCTGCCGGACCAGTCTCCCCATGTCACGCATGGGGAAACAGACCCGGGAGAGGGTATGCACGGCCAGAGATCACAGTGTCACAGTCCTGGTGACAAGACCCTAACTTTTTTCTTCTTTTTTCTAAAAGATTGGTAGACTCCTCAAATCCTAGAAAACTCCTCCCTCTCCCTCAGCTCAAACCCCATCAACCCTGTCCCTGGGAGAGGCTGCCTGTAGCCAGAGGTGACAGGCCAGTGACTGACTTTAAGACTCTCAACTCAAAAGACCCTGCAGTGTCCCAGAGAAGGCTGACAAAGTCCCCATCTTCCGAAAGGGTGGCCACTCCTCCAGATGTTAGAAAATAAAGCCAGCCTCCCCTCCCATAGCTGTTGTTGTTAGCTGCCATAAAGTTGGACTCCCCCCAACTCATGGTGACCCCATGCACAATGGGATCAGACTGTTGTGCTCCACAGGGTTTTCACTGGCTGATTTTCTGAAGTAAATTGCTGCCAGAACTTTCTTCCCAGTCCATCTTAGTCTGGAAGCTCTGCTGAAACCTGTTCAGCATTACAGCAACATGCAAGCCTCCAATGACAGACAAGTGGTGGCTGTGCTAAAGCACACTGGTGGGAAATTGAACCGGGGTCTCCCATGTAGTAGGTGAGCATTCTACCACTGGACCATCACTGCCCATCCGCCTAGCCTAGTTATTGCTGTGAGTTGCCGTTAAGTAGAGAGGGGTCTTAAAAAGTTTCCAGTCCAACCCTGACAGATCATAAAGGCCATCCACACCAGAGCTTTAAGACCAAGATATGTCACCTCCTCAAAGAGCTCATGTGAAAGCACCTGTATTTACTTTCTCCTTCATTGTTTGTCTCCTCCGCCAGAATGGGCTCTGTGAGGGAAGGGATGCATCCTGGGGCTTAGAATGGTGCCTGGTACATAATAGATCCTCATGAAATATCGTTCCAGTGAATGACTGGAAATGCTTTCCTGCATACCCCTCAGGCCCCACCGTGGAAGGGGGGTAATCATTGTACCTGCCTCAAGTTACACTACCTGTAAAGCACAGAGCTTTGTGGAATAAATTAATCCTCTCTTAAAAAAAAAAAAAAATTTAAAAAAACCCAGGAGGAAGGGAGAGGAAGAGGGGGAGGTACAGCCCCAGCCAGAAAACAGAGCTCATCCCCAAGGGAGATGGGAAAAGAGGATGCTGGTGGTCAACCTTGACCCAAGACGCCAGGACTGAGTTTTCTCTCTTAAAAGAAGATGGGCTGGCAGTCAGCCAATCTGCGCTCCAGTTCTACCTCCACCTCTAACTTGCCGTGTGACCTTGAGGTGGTCACTCCCCCGGCCTGGGCTTCGGTTTCTGCCTGTCAAATGGGTGGGGTGGGAACACCTCTAAGGCCCCTCCCAGCTCTGCACTGGAGCCTCCGAAGGGCTGAATGGGAAGATGAGGGGAAGGATAGTGGTGGGTGCTAGGAGAAGACCTTTCCCCAAGAACTTCTAGCTCCATCTCCAGTGTGGGGGGGGCCCACTCCGCAAACATGTTAACAGCAGTGTAGACGCCAGGCAGGGACTGCCAAAGTCCAGCCCCGACGTGCAGAGTCAAATCCAGCAGCAGACGCCTCCTTAAACTGCTGGGTGTATGTTTTGGAGAAGGCAGAGGGGGAGGAGCTTCGAGGATGCCCCAACCCCAGTGAGGCTTCACAGGCCGGGAGGGAACTAGGGTACGGCGGTGGGAGAGGGGAGGTAGTGTACTCTGGCAGAGGGCAAGACGCGGGATCAGAAAAGGGCAAAGTCCGGCAGGAAAACCTCTGAGGCTGGGGGCGGGACCCGGGCTCCACTTTTCCGAAGCTCCGCCCCCAACTTCAAAGGATTTGGTACTATGAGTCCAGAGTCCCGAGTTCAAGAACCAGCTCTGACGCTAACACACTGGCCAAGTCGTTTCCTCAACTTGGGCGTCAGTCTCCCCATATTTAGAATGGGTTGGGGGAGATGAGGAGGGATGGCACTGAAGACCCGTACAGTCTGATCGTCTCTCTAACTCAGGCGGGCTCAGCTGCCTCCAGCATCCTGGGGCGACAACTTTTATTCTATTCACCCTACAAGGTGGCGGGGAAACTGAGGTATGAAGTGGTGAACCGGGCCTAGCGGGGCGGGGCTACCCGGGTCCCCCGCCCCACTTTCGCCCCTCTTCCCCAGCGTGAAGAGGCGGCGCTGGGGAGAGGAGGGAACCACACAGGGGTCCCGGGAGCCGCCCCCGGGTAGCCTCACCTTCCGCACGCGCTTCTTCCGGATGCTCTCTACGGCGAACACCTGCTCGCCAATGGCTGACAGCTCCATGCGGGGCGGCGGGCGAGCGGGCCCCAGACCGGGGCCGGGCCGGGGGCGGAGCTGCGG